AACGCTAGTATTGATAAGGAAATTCCAAGAAAATATATATAAAAAATTTATATTACAAAATTATATATATCATATTCGCCTTAAAATAAATTTAATATTAAAAAAAATTGTCCTTGTCAAATTTAAACAAAATGCATTCTTTAGACTATTTACACTTAATAAGATCAACAACAGCAACAACAAAACCTTTATCCCACTAAGTGGGGCTTGCTAGATGAATCCTTTTTTAATTCTTTTTTTACCATTGTGTCCTATTGAGTGTCATATTTTCATTTAATTCTGGTAAATTAAGATGATTTTTTATACAACATGCCCAAGTCATCTTAAGTTTGCCTCTGCCTTTCTTAACAAAAGTCTAATGTAAAACATCTACTCTTCTAATCAGATCATCAGATGGTGGACGTTTAATGTGACCAAACCATCTAAGATGACTCTCTCTAATTTTGTTTGTCATCGGAGCTACACCAACCCTATCACGGATATATTCATTTTGCATCTTGTCTCTTAGTGTAAAACCACTCATCCACCTAATCATTCTCATCTCGGCAACACTTAACTTAGTTTTATGCTTCTCTTCTAAAGGCCAACATTCATCACCTTAGAACATTGCAGTTTTATGCTTCTCTTTTAAAGGCCAACATTCATCACCTTAGAACATTGCATATCTCACCATTATCTTATAAAATTTTCTCTTCAGTCTAAGCGATACTAGTCTAGCACTCAATACGCCCGAAGCATTCCTAGACTTTAACCAACCAACTTCAGTTCTACTAATAACATCCACATCAATATCACCATCACTTTGAATAATAGACCCGAGATATCCAAAACTTTCACACCTTTTAATAATTTGATCACCCATTGTTACATTTCTGACATTCAATAGAACCCAAGGAGAGATTTGGACGGTATAAATGTAAAATGTAAAATTTTGATGTTAGATATGTAAATAGATAGGAATTGGGTGGTATGTATGTAAATGCCCTTCTATTTTTAAAAGTTTTACATACACAACACACAATTCCTGTATGTTTACATTTCCGATACTTAAAATTTGTTAATACATAAGAATTTGGTGGTATGTATGTAATTACAGCAGGGGTGAGGATTTTGCCGCTGCATAAAAATCAAATTTTAGGTGTTAGATATGTTAATACATAAGACTTCTTATATGGCTGTTATGTGGATTTATAAATATGCTTTATCAAATGTTGTTGTAATTTGCTTCATTTACGATTATGAAGGTTTGAGAGGGTTGATGGTGATTTATTGTATAGTTATAAAAGTTGTATTTTTTATGTGATATGAAATTTTTGGGTGGCATAAATTTTAGTAGTAAAAGTTTAGGTGTTATCCATATAAATACATAGGATTTGGATGGTATGTTTGTAAATGCCCCATGCATATTTAGCCTTCATTATAAATACATGTAATAAAATCATTACTTTTCACAAGATACTTTCTAATTTCAAAGGAATCCAATGGGGACCTATGGTTAGAATAGCAAAAAGAGAGAAAAAAACATATTTGCAGTCTTCTCAGCCTTGAATAGAACACATTTCAGTACTTGATTGACGCGAGGATTTGAATTTCAGAACCAAGTTTCTCTTTTGTAGTCCTCTCACCCTTGGAGCGTAGCTTTGTCAATTGTTTCTTCCTCTCGTAGGCAAAATTGACACGCTGCTTCCTCTTCTCCTATAATCCCTGCAGGCCAAACGATAAATCAATTAAAAACAAGATTAAATGTTTTCCCATTACGTTACTGTCGCAAACAGCACGACTGCGTGTGATCGAAATGATTATTTTTCTACAAACTGCTACAAATCAATTATTTTCAAACTGCAGAAACCAAACAGCTTAACAGCTTCTTTAGTTCAAGGGCAGAATGATCATTTATTCAGAAACAACTGCAAATCAATTATTTTACAAACGCACAAACCAAACATACAAATAGCTTATCACGATCAGCTGTAGATACGTAGCTTATCAAGATAAGTTGTTTATCAACATAAGCTGGATAAACTGCAGCTGCCCCAAATAGAACCTTAGTCGGATAAAGTTATTTTGTTATTGTTGTTGTTGCAACATGTTTTAGACTGAATGGTGTTCTACTTTTGCTTCATATGTGGGGAATTTTACATACACATGTTTCTAAGGTATTTACATAGATATAAATACATAAATCATGATCACAAAAACTTAATTAGCAATCGACTTAAAGATCAACATATTAAAACATGGCAAAATCTACTCAAATACTGAAAGCCAAAAACGAGAAAACGGAAATCCGACATATAAAAACACAATTTATACAAACCATTCATTGAAACATGTTGCTGCCACAACAAATTCTTTTGAAGGAATTTACACCACACACCTTCCGTATTTTCATATCGAACACCTAAAGCTTTGGGGTCATAAATATAATTCAATTTTCATGCAATCTTACATATAAAAATAACAAGAGATTCAAGGTGTGTTTGGGACAGTAATGAGGAGGTGGTGCGGTGCTACACCATAGTTTTTTCAGTTTTACAGTATTACATTGTCTGAGGTGTGTTTGGGACAGTAATGAGGAGGTGGTGCGGGGCTACACCACAGTTTTTTCAGTTTTACAGTATTACATTTTGTCTGTTTTTTTCAAAAAGCTATTGCTGAAAATTATGTTTCGCAACTAGACCTGGCTAGATGCGATGACCGCTTAAGAAGCTACAATCAGAGTTTTTGAATTTTTTTATTTTTTTTATAAAAGCAACCGCCATAGCAGTTTCACAGCTGCTTCTTCAAACAACTACAACAGCCCCAAACAGAGATTCAAGCTTCAGGCTTCTAACATGTTCAACTAATATGAAGCCTCTTCAATCACAACTCCAAATAAACTCTATAATCAAGCAACAAACATAAAATTGATAGCCAAACTATACCGTTTGTGGATTCATATTTATTGATTTACATATTTTTCTTGTATCTAACATTGACAGCCGCTCAGTCATTGGAAAGGCATCTCAAGCAGCGACACTGAAAGCCAAAGCCTTCAGAAAGAACTTTCTGACGAGCATCAAAATCCATGCTTGCATCAAGGTAGCATATGCGGAGCTCCTCACCTGAGAACAAAATAACATGAATTTTGTGTACTAAAATTTTAATATCAGGAGCTGTCAGAAGAAAGATTATGCAATGAGTTTGGCAGAAGACCTTCTTCAATATGGCGAAGAGCTTTCAGCTTTGCAAATGCACTGTCAATCCATACTATATGTGTATTGGGATCTGCAAATGTAAAAAATGAAGGGTGGTGTTTACTAAATCAATGATGAATTTGGTACAACCAAAGGGGGCAGCTGCTATTTGTCAGTCGTATGGCATATTATAACAATGGCTACAAGTATCTTAGAGCCTATGAAGTATGGCGACCGACATGAGACACAGACACGATATGATGTGATGGTGAGCATTATATAGCCTCAACAAGTAGAAAATGACAACAAGAACATGAATAATTTTTATATAAATTATTAAATAGACAAATATGGAGCTATTTTGAGATAAATTTCTACCTGTTACTTTTGATTGTACTAACAATTATATCATATAGTTAAGTTTAAAAATTGTTAAAAAATATGAAGGGTTAATTTAAGATGATTAAATTTGGGAGTAGAGGGAGGGAATGATAAAAAAAAAAATCTAATTGAGGCTATTCTGCTAAATGCTATGTTTAATTTTATTCCAAAGAAATGCTATTAACCTAGTAATAGGATGAATAAAATAGAAAAGTAAGAATAGTGAAGTAGTTTATGAAAGCAATATTGAAATTAGAAATTGAAAATTTAGAAATTCAATTTAAATGATTAAAAAATTAAATTATTATTATTATTACAAATTTGTTTTTGAATATAATATCTATTTTGAATGTTTAGGTCCTTGTGAAAGTTATAACAAAGATTATAACAAAATGTTAGAAGAATTATAATACAAAAAGCTTATTTAAAAATTAGTAAAATTTTAAGAAATTTAAAAATAAGATTTATGATTCTAGGTGCTAAACTGGAAGTTTATGAATGATGGTTAAATGTTAATACTACAATTTTAAGGTTATGGTGATTAATTACTTTTCTACTTATACTTTTTCTTTATTTTTAAAATACAATTATTTTTTCAACGAATAAGCCATGATACAAATTAAATGAATGTTTAATTTTTTACAAATATTACATATGTTGTATCCGCATTGAAAATTTAACAAATGTTTTAAAAATTAAAAGAAATTAAAAGAAAATAAAATGAAATAAACATACATGTCAATCGCAGGAGTTACCTCATTATAGTACTACTTAAGGATACCATAGTACCGATGCAAGAAAATGAAAATAAAAAATATTTAAAAAAAAAGTAGTAAACGTACCTTAATTGGTAAAAATTTTTTAATGGTAATAGACTATAGTGAATTTTTGTCTAATTGGACAAATTCAAGTCGACATTAACTTATAGAGATTTTTGAACCAATGACATTTGAACAATTTTGGTAACGATCAAGGCAATTCAAGCTCAAATCATTTGACATTGTGCCCGAACCCCATCAATTTCATCGTGATTGTTCATTTTTCTCATAAAAATTCATTGTAAAATTTTGATGTTCCAGATGCATTTGTCTAGTCAATTTTACGAACACATGTTCTTTAAAGACAATTTTTACGATGATCTAAGTCATTTGGATTTGATCCATGCAGCGCTGCATTTGTTGCTTGTTGTATACATCTAGCAACATTGTCCTAGTAATTTTGACATTCAGGGCATCCACATGTAGCTCGATTTATGAACAAGCGATGCTCCAAGTGCCTTTGGGCATGAATGTGGTATTTTGATGTCGATTTACATGACATTGCATTCATTGATAAGCACTCACATCATTTCTGATCAATTCAACTCAAGAAACATATATAGAGATCAACAGGGTCCTAGGTCATTGAAGAGTGTATAGATCTTAGATCGTAAACCAACAAGTCCAATATATCCAATAGATCGTAAACCAACAAGTCCAACAGATCATGATGACTTGAACCAACAAGTCCAATATATAAAAAAAGGTCTAAGTCAATTAACAAAAGAGTATCGAAAGCTCGGGCACACTGGACCAAGTAAAACTAGCAGACACCCTAGTGATGTGCTTAAGAATGAATGAACTATGAAAATATAGAAATCCAAAGACTAGGATTGAATCAAATGTAGAACATGGTATAATGATTGCAAAGTCTGAATAGTTTTTATTGGTTGTGCGTGCCGCAATAGAAGAACCAAGTAGTGTGAGATAAATCTAATAGTAGAAGCAGAAAGAATAGATAGTGTATGAAGTGCCCAGGTGTAAGAAAAACACCAAAAATAAGTATGCCAACACTCTATTTGAAGCACCAGTCATTCATACTTCATGCAAAAGACGGTATTTCGCCATAAGAGCACTTGAATGTCTACAACAAGCTTCTTTTAGATCTAACAAATTTATATGTGAAAATTAGAGAAGAAGATAAAGCTTTGAGCTTACTTATACTCTCTAACTTATACTCTCTACCATATCCACTAATGAGCATATTGCTATCCCTTTGATGTATAGGAAGAACATTACATTCAAAATAAATAAATTTTACTCTTCTACTAAATGAGTTGAGAAAAAGAGGCCAAGTGAAAGCCCAACTATGGGCTTATTGGTGAGTAGAAGTAAGAGTTTGAACAAAGAAAAAAAATGAGAGAAATCGAAATCAAGTTTAAAAAGAAAGGATAATTCCCCTAATGCAAGAAGTCTATACAATATAAATATGAATGCAAATTACTACAAGAGAAGCAATTAAAAAGATGATCAAAGAGACAAAATATAGCTCTGGAGTAGCATTGGTTGTAGAGGAATAGAAAGATAAGTATGACATAATTATGTCAGTGCAGATAATTTAATTTTTATTTTTTTGGGTCTCATTCCTTAAGAATTGGATCGACTCTGACTATTCACATCACATGAACTCTGGCAGAGATCGTTTCATTTAAAACTCTGTTGGTGGAGAAAACATCCTTATGGGCAATGACATGATACGTAAAACTGCTGAGATACAGACAATTCAGATCAAAATATAAAATAGAGCTGTGAGGGCTTTGAATTAGATCAGATATGTGCTTACCTAAATGAATAATCTTATCTCAAAGGGTTATTTTTAACTCTAATAGGTACATATTCCCACCAAAGGAGTTTTAATAGTGTAATTATTTGTACACTTTTAATTTGTGCGCCTCCATACTCTTAATGGTGAAGTTAACAGTATCTTCATACCCAGTCAATGTAAGTCAATCTTGACTAAATCATGTAAATCCTAATATTATTCTATATGTATTCATTTTAATATTTTTATAACATATTTGCATGTATAACTCTAGTTTTATTTCGCCATGATTAATTCAATTGCTCTCATTGTTGCACTCAACAGAGTGTAATTGAACACTTTTGTTGCAACACTTATTGTCTCCATGACTGTAAAACAGGATAACCATCAACCATCGAACCTAAACTAAAAACTTAACTAATAATAGTTTGTGCATGTCCAATTTAAGTTGATTATTGATCAATCTTTAGTTTAATTTTAAAAAAGAAAAAGATAGTAAATAATTTTTAGCATTTCAGGCACAAGTTGGGGTGTGATGGATGTGTTCATGTTCAGCATGGATGCAAAAGGCCTTTTAAAGTGTCCGTGCTTCATAGCTTATAATAATGTTAATGCCAAATTAGATGAAAAATGCATTTCTTTGAATACTTCAGCCAATGTAAAGTTGGTGGATAACTGCAAACAGTAAGTAAAATTAAGTAGCCAATCTTGGTGTCTCAAAATAAGACTAATATTTTTTAATTACCCTTAAATATTTGTCTAGTCAGAGATAATAATGCATAGTGTTAGAAGTACTCATAATTGCATATATAAACAAAGATATGTATGGCTGCTCTTTCTCATTTGAAATTTCCTAAAAGCTCCCCTTCTAAAAATATATAATTAAATTGACCACCCGATTAATGGCAAGTCCAAAAGAAAACCCCTTTCTGAAGGACGAGGGATCTCATGGCAACATATAACGAGTAGATATTGCACTTATTCATGTAACCTAAGAAAATTAAAAAAATATATATTTGTACATTCTCATAAAAAAAGATTAATAGCTTAAGAAAATAAAGAAAGAAAAACTCAATAATTTCTACTATTATTATTTTCACCATCATTTATTTTAAGTTAATGATAATCATGTCTCTGAAAGGTTTGTTAGCGGATTAATCCTAATAATAATATTAAGAGAACCATGATTTACGTTTCTATAATCTCTCCATAATAGCAGCAAAATAAAACAATGGTTCTTGTGAGTGACCACCATCAACTCACCATAAGATCAATATCACAACCCATCAAACAAGCCTTAAAAAACCAACATTAATCTTGCAACCTCGATTACAATGAGGCTCAACTTAGACCTCCTCCAACATCAATCTTAAAAATATTCAAACATCTAGCAATACTATTGTCAAAGCTAAAACCTTTCATCAAGCTATCAATTACCCCAATGAAATTCAAATTTAGCTTCAATTTTAAATATAAAATGTCTTGATTTTAAAACCTGAGTTCGGCCAAAGGAGCAAAATAGCTCACAAAGTGATACTTCCGTTTGGCAAAGATTTAGAAGAAGAGATATCACCTTCCATCATTTGTCACACCAAATGTATTAAAATATAGTCCACCCAAACTGAAATGAAAGCAGACGCGAAAGAGAAGGAAGAATGTGAAACAGGAAGAAGAAAGGTAAAGCAGAACCCTCAATTCATTACGAGTGATTCTGATGCTTACATAAGCACACCCTTACAGGAACAATAAATGTATATATAAAAAACGGAAAAAATATCTGGAATCCATATATGCGGCCGAGATGAGATTAGTTGGCTAAAATTCTACGGTGAGGATATTAAATGATAAAGTAGATGGGTATGGTGTACTACAGGTGTATTATTATCATCACCCCTCAAGCTAATGGCTGGATTGCAGATGTTTAACTTGGCTCTGAGTTCATGAAAGCGAGGCGTAGGAAGTGCCTTGTTAAAGATATCAGTTAATTGTTCTTCGGTTGGAATATATTCGAGAGAGAGCCCCTCGGAGATGATGTCTTCTCTAATGAAATGATAGTCAATCTCAATTTGCTTCGTGCGATCGTGGAAGAACAGATTATGGGTGATAGCCATTGCTGAGGTGTTGCCACAA